ATGTATATGTATATATATGTATATGTATATATATGTATATGTATATATATGTATATGTATATATATGTATATATATACATATGCATAAATATATATATGTATATATATGTATATATATATATATATGTATGTATATGTATATATATGTATATGTATATATATGTATATATATGTATATGTATATATATGTATATATATGTATATATATGTATATGTGTATATATATGTATATGTGTATATATATATATGTATATGTGTATATATATATATGTATATGTATATATATATGTATATATATATGTATATATATATGTATATATATATGTATATATATATGTATATATATATATATATATATATATATATATATATATATATATATATATATATATATATATATATATATATATGTATATATATGTATATATATATATATATATATATATATATATATATATATATATATATATATATATATATATATATATATGTATATATATATATATATATATATATATATGTATATATATATATATATATATATATATATATGTATATATATATATATATATATATATATATATGTATATATATATATATATATATATGTATATATATATATATATATATATATGTATATATATATATATATATATATATATATGTATATATATATATATATATATATATATGTATATATATATATATATATATATATATGTATATATATATATATATATATATATATATATATATATATATATATATATATATATATATATATATATATATATATAATTTTTTTTTTTTTTTTTTTTTTTTTTTTTTATGTATGTATTCCCCTCAGTAAACAATGTTCCGTCTTGTATGGCAGACTGAATAAATTTGCAGCCACCCTCAGCTTATTGAGCTTGGAGTTTATCTTGTAACACTAGTACATTCTCCTAGAGGCATTGGATTAAGTGATTTGTGTAATAAAAGTATTATTGTTCCATAGGTAGAGAAATGCACTGTTTATTCAAATTGTATGAAATATTGTAGTGCAAATATTAGCCTTTTCATTAGCTTTATCAAATTTGTAGTAGACTCAAAAATTGGTGTGTACCTTGCAAAGACTTTGTAATAAAAATAGAACTTTTATATGGGAGGAAATGAAAAAAAAAACAAGATATTTCAATGAACATTTTAGCCACTTCTGAAGAGCCTTTATCCACCTATGTATAAGGCTCATTTTTAGAGAGATCACTCTTGCACTTGTAGTTTATTTCTAGAAGGAAAGGGAGTGCCACTATGGATATTTGGATCCGTGGAATCGAGGAGGACCTTGAGATTTCCTTTCCTCTTGACCTGTACAGGGTTTGATTGTGGATGACCTGAAAGACATCATTGTTTCTGAAATCAGCCAGATTGCTAAGACCCACCCCAACCACAGCAGGGGATATGAGAGAAAGTATATAGAACAGTATTGGTGATAAATTTTTGAAAATCCTGGTATTGACACCATTTCAAGGGCTGGGCCGAGTAATTGGTAATCTACACAATCGGCTACAGAGTCCTGCATCCCCTATGGAAGTGCAGAGAAATAATTACATTTTATGAGCAACGGCAGCAAATTATACATATTTGGCATATTTATAGGTTTTTATATATTTATGTCTTGTGTATATGGATAATATACATACAAAGCAAAGTTTGTGTGAATTCATGCATATATTCCCCCCTGCTAATTCACAAATTGTAAAACAGTACATCATAGTGAGCATAATCAACTAAATATGATAAAGTCAGCAATCAAAGCTTAAAAATAAGTTGGTTCTCTACTTTTCTAACCATAGAAAATATCATCTAATGTAAATGACTTTGCTCTTCTGCTGTCTGCCAAGGCCTGTGGCGTATATACAATCCCAGTTACATATAGATGCTTCATGATATAATGTATAAAAGCTTTTATGTAATTGAGTTTGTAAACAAACCAAATATAGTTTCAAGGAAGAGTTTGATATATTTGTTTGATAGTTATTATTAACTGAGCTGAAAGTTATCATTTAAACATATGCATTTCTTTATAGAAGAATTTAATTTCCATCTTATATTTTACTTTGATGATTTATAAATTTATTTATTTTTGATATTTAGAAATACTTTTTATCTAAGATATTTTTTTAGGGGTGCTTGGTAGGGGGAGACTTAAAATTATTTTCATCATATCTTCAAAACTCTCTGACAGAGAAAGGCTCAGGAGCAAGATGGGTGGCAGATCTCTGGAACTGTAGATGCATCTAAACTTTACATTTTCCAATAGTAGAATAAATTTCTGGCAGCCGGCAAACCCACCCTTGTTGCATAAAGATACATAGTTGTACTATAACTGTGGTAACTTACAGATATTTATCATCAAGATTTTTTTTAGACCATTCACATGATTTATTTACTTAACTTTTCACAAAATTAAATCACTTTACCATTCAAAAAGTTTGTTTACTGCATAGAAGTGATTAGATATTTCATAGATATGTCATTCTAGTTATTCTATTTTTTTTTTCTCTCTCTCTTTCATTACAGATTGACCAAAGGGAGAATAAAGGCACGTCAGAGAAAGTTGCACCAAATAGCTCGGTTGCTAGAACTTCCTGGGCATCTCCAGCCCTGCCCGTCACCTCCAGCACATGCACTGCATACTATGCGCCAAGAAGCTCACAGTGAGTTATATATGTATTTTTTAGCCTTTCAAAAAAGCGTTTGATTTCCTCTCCATGTATTTACCTTTTCTTAACATATAGTACAGGTGAGGGGCAAAGCCAATCTAGCTTTGATATTCAATGTATATGTGTGCTTTTTAACTTCACAAACAGTTCTGTGTACAAACAGCTCTGAAATCATGCCAGGTAAGATATTCTTATCTCCTTCCTTTCCATTTGCCTAAGTATACATACTTTCAAAAGCATTTATATACTATTTCCTTAAGTGAAAAAGGGGTAATTTGGCCCATCATCTTTGACTGAATTAAAAAATGAAGTGGTAAAGTGAAGTTACAATGTTTATCTTGAAAAAAAATTGAAAATGGCAATTATTCTCGTGTATGTATGTACAAAAAGAAATTTTGGAAGAGTTGTCAAAAAAGTAAAGGTCCAAACAACTGAAATTGTTATATAGATGTTTATTAAAATGAAAGCTGTGGCAAAATAAGTTAGACATTACAATAACAACTCCCTACTTTGGTAATTTTTTAGCTGCGTATTACCCTAAGTATCCTAACAAATGTGTCTCTTCTGAAGAACCAAAAGAAAAGTATGGTGTTCGAGCATATGTCTTTTACTAGTATTAACCCATTGGATCCAGGTGCAACACTGCCATCACATGGCCCAAAATACAGGTGTTAGGCTTACTCAAGTGGCCGTTCAGGTGGCTACGTGGCTTGTAGGCCAGGCACAAACAAACATTCGTGTTCTATGACGAGTCCATTCCTCCCCTTTGCAATGTTATGTTCTAGGTAGTCCTTAACACTGTGAAATGATAAAAAATATAAGAAACATTTTGTCATTTGTGTCTTTTTTCTTTTTTCTTTTTTCATTTTCTTCATGATATTCAATTTTTTTGCAATACAGTATGCACATTGGCCAGGAATACTGTCCTGAACATGCAAAAGGGGTCTTCCTTGGAGCTAGTGCTCTTCCAGTCATGGCTCATGGATCGTACATTCCACATTTATTGATGGAAATAATGCAAAAACCCTTTCCTAATCCCCTTCCTAGCTCTCTGTGTATTACCCTGGCCTTCAGCTAAAATGATCACAAGAAGTTCAGGTCACCTGGGCCATAGCCACATTTTCCCACGATGTGATGGTTATGTTATCTAGATTGTAGGGGTTAAGAAAAGATGTGTTGGTTCTGTGTAGATGATAATGATCTTATAACTAAACTGCTCCCTTGAAAAAAATTGTATTAAAAATAAAAAGATAAACAAATAAAGCAAAATATCAAAAGCTGAAGAATTTGAACAGTATTTAAGACAATGTGTTGAGAAGCTTTACCATTTTCATTTCCAATATTCAGACTGCTAGTAATGATTGTAAATGCTTGATGCATTAGCTCATGATTTGGTTTGAACTGCTAAATGTTATGTTGGCATTTGACTGTGCTGCCTGTAAAATGATGCATCAGCTATCCAGTTGCTTTATCATCTTAAATCTTGAATTAAATGTCATATGTTTTTCACATACATAACTAAAAAAGTATCATGACATTGGTATTCTATCTTTGAATGGATCAGATATAGTTTCCTTAACTCTACTTTTTGTGATTAGCATTAATTGGGTAGAGCATAGACTTTAACTCTATGTGAATAGACAGTAGACAGGCAGAACTTTAGAAATGATATCAAATACAGCAAATGATTCGTAACAATAGGGGAGATATTCTTCTCTACATAGAGAGTGAATGTCTAAGTTTTTGTATTCAGGTTTGTGAAGTGACTTGGAATTTTTTAAATATCCAGTTCTAGATTGCAGTGCACATGCTACAGGGACATAAAATAATGCTGTAAAAGATATAATCAGTATTTTACTACTGTTCATGGATAAGGGGACAATGTATTTAACTACTAAAGATAATATCACAGTTAGTTAAAAAACTTTAAAAATAGGCCTGTTTGTGAGAGATGATAGTAGAAATAGAAAATAATTTACGCAATATTTTTTACAATTTCTTACACCTTTTAACCCCTTGGATCTAGATGCGTTGCACATGGAGCAAAATACAGGCATTAGGCTTACTTGAGCCACTCTGACAGATGTGTAGCTTGTAGACCAGGCACACAAACACTCCTGTGCAGTGACAAGGCTTCATGCCCTCCCCTTTATAATGCTATTCTCTCTTTTTCTGCATAAACATTTTCAGTTCTTTTGCAATTTTCCAATGTCTCTATTTGTTACTTGATTTGCTTTATCCAGATGGTAATGGACTGTTTTCCTTGTATAACTCCATAACATCTCTCTAGGTAGT